TACAGCCACTTTGGAAATCAGTATGGCGACTCCTCAAGAAAATGGGAATCAGTCTACCACAAGATCTAGCAATTCCACTCCTAGGCATATACCCAAAAGAAACACATTCATACAACAAAGACATCTGTTCACCACTGTTCACTGCAGCACTATTTGTCATAGCCAGAAACTGGAAGCAGCCTAGATGCCCCTCAACCGAAGAATGGATAGAGAAAATGTGGTACATTTACACAATAAAATACTACACAGCAAAAAAAAAAAAAAAATGGAATCTTGAGATTTGCAGGAAAATGGATGGAACTCAAAGAAACCATTCTGATTGAGGTAACCCAATCACAGAAAGACAAACATGATATGTACTACTCATATGTGGATTTTAGACATAGAGTAAAGGATTACCAGCCTACCAGCCTACAATCCACACTGCCAGAGAAACTAGTAAACAAGGAAGACCCTAAATGAGACAAACATTGTCCCCTGGAGAAGGGGAAAGGGTCACGATCCCCTGAGCAAATTGAGAGCATGGGAAGAGGGGGGAGGGAGCTATGAGAATGAGAAGGGAAGAAGAGGAAGGATACAGAGGTTATGAGGGAGCAGAAAGGTTGAGTCAGGTGTAGATTAGAAGAAAGGATATGTGATAGGTGGGGTTTTAGTTGAGGGGAGTAGGGGAGGAAGGGAGGGAGAAGGGAACTGAGATTGTCATGTAATTCAATCTTATTTCTAATTCAAATAAAAAACTGATAAAAAAAGAACAGTTTTTTAAAAAGTATGATATATATAATTAGGAAATGATATTATTAGAGTTGAATAGTCCAAATACAAGATAACTCCTACCAATATCACAGTGATGTTTTTGTAGAAATAAAAAACTCATCTTTAAATGTATATGGAATGTCAAGAGACTCAACAACCTGTACAGTCTTGGAGAATCATACTTCCTGGTTTGAAAACGATACACTACTTTAAGCAGAAATGTATTCAAACACCTAAAGACACTCCAACCAATGGGAAAGAATAAAGAACCCAGAAATAATTCTCTCTCTCTCTCTCTCTCTCTCTCTCTCTCCTCCTCTTCTTCTC